TTACTTACTTACGCCTGTCAACCCCCAATGAAGCATAGGCCGCCCAACAGTTTTCTCCAACCAACTCTGTCCTGGGATTCCTTCTCCAGTTCTCTCCAATTTTCGTTCATTCCTCTCATATGTCTTTCTCTATTTCTCGACGTAATGTGTTCCTTGGCATTCCTCCTTTCCTTTTGCCTTGAGGGTTCCAAGTGATGGCTTGTCTTGTGAGACAGTTAAGTGCTTTTCTCAGTGTGTGTCCTATCCACTTCCACCACTTCTTCCTGATTTCCTCATCCACGTCGAATCTGGTTCGTTCTTTCCTACAGTACGTTGTTGCTGATGGTGTCTGACTAACGAATCCGAAGTATTTTGTGTAGACAACTGTTAATAAATACTTGTATCTTCTGATGATGGCTTTCTTAATTTTTCTAAGTTTCCTTCTCCATAATGAACATAATCAATTATCAATTACTCAACTTACTTACTTACTTACTTACTTACTTACTTACTTACTTACTTACGCTTGTTATCTCCAATGGAGCATAGTCCACCAACCATCATTCTCTAGCCTACGCAGTCATCCGTTTTCCTTTCCAGTTATACTCAATCGCTATTCATTCCTTAAATATCTGCTTCCAGTTCTCGTTTTTGGTCTTCGGCTTCTCCGTTGGCCTTGAGAATTGCAGATGAGGATTTGTCTCGAGATATAGTTGAATGCTTTCCACAATTGTGCTGTATAAATACTGCCTTTGATTTCTGACCCCCTGCTTCATATCTTCATTAGATCACATCTTGCCTATCAATGTTTCTGCCCAGATATGTATGTAAAGGATTCTACATCTTCTGAAACTTCTTCATTAACACTTTTCAATTGTTCACAATCATTTTGATGTTGAAGGTGAAATAATTTCCAAATAGATAGTGGATCTCATATCAATTTTGATGTGCCACAAATTACAGAAAAATAAAATAGAGATTTATCTAAATGACTGATTGAATGATATGAATTTTGAGAATACGTAAACAAATAAACGGACAAATTAACTATGATTCGTTGTGTTATTGATAAATATCAAGTAAGTAAACAGAAAAAACCAGTGGATAAATCATACTTTAAACCAAAGTGTGATTGATTGCTGTTCATACTTCTACTATTGCTACTACTACTATTACTACTATGAGATTTGAAATGACAGTTGCGTCTTTGCGCTGATGGGGTATGGTAAGCTGAACCTGTGTACTCATGTACGAAGTTCTTCGTTGTAACTGAGTGATTGACTGACTGACTGACAGATTAGGTGGTACTCATGGTTATAATCATCGGTTTTCCAATTAGTAGTACTAGTAGTCGGAGTGATAACAGTCGGCGTAATAGTAGTAGTGTAGTGAACGAGAACACAGGTGGGGGCAAACGAATTGTATTTAACGAAAATTACAGAGTTACTCAGTAAAATCGGAAAACCATATCGCAAATCGTTCATTTGCAAAAGATCAGTTCATCCTATGGAACTGGACTGTTCCTGTTGCCCAACATCAATCCATTGTAACTATTCATGCGTTTGATACAAATTCCATTGTTTTCTAACTCTTCCTTTCTTGCTCTTCCCCCCATATTATGCTACCAGACTTTACGTTGACACTCACGTTATATACTACTTATAAGTAGTTCGCACTACAGCACCACACTCGTCCCCCCTTTTAATAAGCTGTCGTCGTAGTCCTGCAAAACAGAGCCCCTGGTCAGTTAATATCACCTTCCGTATTCCGTGACACGCTACAATATGCCGGATTACCACTTCGGACATCGTTCTTGATCACTGGTCTGGAATGGATACGGCATCTATCCAACGTGTAGCGTTTACAAGTTGTCGATGCTGGAACACGGCGGCAGGCACACACTCGATAAATTTCGACGCCAAAGACTGTGCTCCGCCCACTCCTCACGGCGCAACCCGGTGAGCTCCGCAGCAAGCACCAACAGGTCACCGTCGGCCGACAGCCGCGCCAACCGGAACCTCTGCGGCGCCTCCTCCCTGTCCGCTGGGCTGTCGAACTCCATTATCAGCCGCCCGGTGACCGTCTCCCACGCCGTCTTATCGGTGGCACCGTCCAGGCTGTCGTGTACCGCCTTCGCCTCACCTTCCCGCAGCGTCCCCAGCACCGTCAACTCCGCCCCAGGCCCCCACCAGCTGCACCGTGGCCCCAAACTCCTCCAGGAAGCTCCGCCAATCTCCGTCCTGCAACTCCTTCGGCCACGGGAGCCCCTTCCTTCGAGCAGGCAGCGACACAAAATGTAGTGAATGAGAACACAGGTGGAGGCAACCGAATTGTATTTAACGAAAATTACAAACTTACTCAGTAAAATCGGAAAACCATATCGTAAATCGTTCATTTGCAAAAGATCAGTTCATCCTATGGAACTGGAGTGTTTCTGTTGCCAAACATCAATCCATTGTCACTATTCATGCGTTTGATACAAATTCCATTGTTTTCTAACTCTTCCTTTCTTGATCTTCCCCCCCGTATTATGCTACCAGACTTTACGTTGACACTCACGTTATATACTACTTATAAGTAGTTCGCACCACAGCACCACAGTAGTAGTGTAGTGAAGGAGAACACAGGTGGGGCAATCGAATTGTATTTAACGAAAATTACAGAGTTAATTGGTAAAATAGGGAAACCATATCGTAACCGTTAATTTGCAAATCTTCAATCCATCATCAATCCATTGTCTGACATTTCACTATTCATGCGTTTCATACAAATTCCATTGTGTTCTCACTCTTCCTTTATTGATCTTCCCCCATCTTCTGCTGCCAGACATTACGTTGACACTCACGTCATATACTACTTATAAGTAGCTCGCACCACAATAGTAGTAGTAATGGCAGTAGTCGTAGTCGTAGTAATCAGAGTAACGGAGGTTTCGTTATTTACTTTCTGTAGCCACATGTGATCAATCACAGAATGACATAATAGTCGTAGAAATAATGTATATATACAATTCATGTCAAACAAGTTTTGATTAAGAATAAATATAGAAATTTGTCAAATTGAACAAGTCATGTTTGATTTATTTTTGTTTTAAATTTATTACATGATGTTTATTTATGTTAATTTTTTGATAAGGAAATAATTTAAGATAAACAATTTTGTTTAAGTGTATTTGTTTAAATTAACTTTTGTTCAATTGACATGATTGTTGTTGATTCTCTAATTTTTTCTTTCCAGGAAAATCAATAAAACACCCTTGGATGCCTGCCCAGTGGTCCGATGGTTAGGCGTTCGAGCACGATACCGAAGGTCCCGAGTTCGAATCGTGCTAGGTGCATCAGTAGTCGTGGATGCGCACTGCCACGGATGAGTCCCCCATAGTAGGTCGTCTTTCAGTGCTTCCAGGTTTCTTCTAATACTGGTCTAACAATGATTGATTGATTGATGATTTCAAATGTGTAAAAACACAAACCTCCAAGACTCTGCCCCAAAAAACACATGTTGAATGATTTATTAATTGGTAATTCTGCTAAATGAACTCAAAATCTAGTTTCCTTCACACGTTTCTAATAATCTCAAGTTAAATCTACATTGGAACTTGAACAAAAAAGAGAAAAGGCGCGAAGTGCTAGAAGGATGCTTTAATTCGATTTGGTAAAATTTTCAGAGAACTAAGGTATATATATATATGGTTGTTTGGTATGACGTGAAACTATTTATTGAAATTATGTAGTCCACAAATGGCGATGTTACATCATCGTCCTGAAATTGGCTCAAAATCGTTTGCGACAGCATAGATGCATTCAAAGTTAATTTCACTATATTATACTTCTTGAATAATATGTTCGAACTGCAATCTCTCCGATTACTGCTAATAGTTGTACTATCTCTATCACTATGGGATTTGAATTGACACTTCTAACTCTCTGCATGCTGGATCATGTGCAATGTCTAGATCGTCCAGCTGCATCCAAACTGTCCACTGTATCCGGTGCTTCACTCCAGATATTTATGGCTTCATAATCCAGTCGACCATTAGGAGAAAGAGAAATGGTGAGAGTAAGTAACCTTGTCAGACACCGTTCTTCTCTTTGAAATGAGTCTGTGAGTTGTTCTACATGTAGGATTTTGCAGCTTAGTTCATTGTAAGAATTCCGTATGATGTTGACTACTTTCTCAGGCACGACATAACGTCGATTGAGCCTGCATAATGTCATGCTCTGCACGTTGTTGAATGTTTCCACGTGGTCGATGAAGTTGATGGTGAATTCCATACTGTCGCGTTGAGATTTATACTGATAAAATTTCTTCTGTATTGTTTTGGGAAAA